TGCCGTCCCTGACAGGAACGACCCTGGGCCCCTTTCGCCTGGGGGAGGGTCCTGAGGGCAGCGGGGGGGCCTGGGCGGCTCTGTCGCCTTTTGCTGCTTTCGAGGGGGGGGGGGCTTTTTTTATTTTGTCTACGTCTTTTGTTTCCCAGCCGCTTTTACTTGAGCTGACCTTGATGCACCTTCCTCGGTGCTTTAGCAAAGGCTGACCCCAGTTTTGGAAGCTGAGGGGCCGAGGTGTGTTGGGTGAGCAGCCCGAGGGTGCAGGACGTCTGCAGTCAGACCACCCGGGCCTTCGCGATGTGTGTGCTCACAAAATAACCGTGCTTAGCCGTGTTGCTGTTGCTAGATGTTCAAGCTGCTGTTTTCTGTCTTTTTTAAAAAAAAACACCACAACAAACAACAAAACTTGTGCAGCCTCCCAGAGCATGATGGGGATGTGGTGACCTGATGGACATTGCCACCATCTTCTTTAGTTTGTGTAGGCATAAACCATTGGCCTGCAACTGGAAGGTTATGGTTTGTACCATCCATCTTCATGCACACAAGTACTGAACAATGTCTGTGTGCTGAAGCCGATGGCTTGATGCTTCACTCTCCTTAATAAGTGTACCTTTTGCATTGTACATTTGTAATATACCTCACACATGCTGTCATCTGAAGATATTCTCCTGTGTTTTGTTCTCTATTATTTACCTCATGTTAAGGCCCACAGTTATTTACACTTCCTCCTTCACCTCCCTCCCTTCAGAAATCTTGATATTTAACCCTTGAAGCTGATGGTGAGCTTAATCCTGAAAATGCTTATATTAGGTACACATACTGGCAATATGGGTATTTGCATATAGAAATCTGAATTTTAAATACAAAAAAATATTTTATTAGAGAAATAGTAATACTTAAAATTACAGTTGAACTGCCACACTGAGGTCCCAAAGAAAATGTACTAATGAAAAAAGTAACTGTGGAGATTTGCCTACTGGAATTAAGCTTCAGGATTAACTTCATAGAGAGAAATTGGGAGAGCTGAAACAAAATGCAAGGGTTTCAGTATATCCTATGGTTTGGAATCATTCCAGAGCTCTAAGTCCAAAAGATTAATTTGTTCACCTTTTCTTAAAGTCTTTCAATACTTAGGCTTGCCTCTCTGCTGGTGGAAGCTGAGGATTGTGAGTGGTCTGAATGTGTATTTTAGTTGATTTCTGTCCTTTTGATTCTCTTTGACATTCCTTAGCTCATGGCATTCAGCAGACTGCAGTAAGACAAGCTCATCGCAAGTCTGAGCCCAACTTCCATGATAAATATGGAAACCTGGTTCTCCTTGGTGGAGCTGGAGTTTTTACTACCATCTGGGCATATGTAAGTTGTCCTTCTTTTCACCACTCTCTTGGGACTATAGCTGTAAATGTGCAAGCTAGTAAATTTAACAAGGGCTCAGTTGTTTGAAGTAACTTACATAGCCAAGATTTAGGAGCTGCTTATATAAGTGAATGGTAATATGCAAGTTGTGTTCATATTTTGAGTTGTGAGATAAATTTCTGTGTCCTTCTATTGCTTGATTTTAAAATGTAGTGGAAACACAAGTGTTCTCTACTTGGGATTTCTAAGCTATAGGGGTAGAGATTCTAGCAGAAAAATTATTGATAAAAATAACAGTACAGTGATGGGGCTTTACACCTTTTTTGATCTAGCTTATTTGAAATAGTAAACTGAAGTATTTAAATATTATTCAATGTAAGTATACTTTACTTACTTTATTAAATGTTATGTTCTAATACAAGAAATGTAAACTGAAAACTGTAGGAATATAAGAAGTTTTCCTTGATTTCAGAGTTAATAATTTTGACTTTTGTTCTCCTGCAGGTGCTCACACAACTTAGAATTGAGTGGGGCTTGTCACCTGTTGGCAGAATCACCCCGAGAGAGTGGAGGGAGTAACAGCCTTTGCTTGCAATTAACTGGTCTGAACTTTCACTGAAATAATTATTGTGTAATGGCATTTGTTCCCTGATCACCACTTGTGCAGTGGCATTCCT